GGAGCAGGACTTGTACAGATGAAATAATGTAAAATATTCCGTTTGCACTGCATAGAATAAAATCTGAACTTAAACCAGTGGGACTAAAATTAAGCCACTTTATAGAGCAAACAAAAAGAAAATCTCAATTATTTATTTTTGTATTATTCACATTCAGACGGCGGACGGTTTAGTAATGTAGACTTTTTATAACTAACAGCATCCTGTTCCCTTTAATTGTGTCCTAAGGGAGTCCATCCTGTACTGACTTTGTAAATTAGATTTCCTCAGTTGTACAAAGAAGACTTTAAAAAAAATGAAATAATCTAATAGATGAAAGTGCTCTCTTATCATCCTGTGGAAATGAAATGAATGTCTGTCATTAAATGCGCTGCAATAAATGAGTTTGTGAACTGATTAGAAACAAAAATGTCTTTATTTTATTGATCATACAGCTACATATTTAGCATTTCACACACATTTTCTGCTCAAGTGTTCATAAATGATATATTTGTATTAATGCAGTAAATAAAATCACAAACTGTAGGATAAAGTGTTTCCTTTTTAACATAAACATGATATTTAAGCTTTACATATTTTTTTAATTTTCACTAAATGAAATCTTGGCTCGTATTCTGAATGAAAATCATCCTGCTTTTATTAGGGTTGAAACAATTATATTAATCGATTATTGAAATAATCGTCAACTAATTTGGTAATCGAATAATTGTTAGTAGACAGACTCTAGTAGATGCCTTTAGCTGACAAAGCAACCCACTTATAGCAGTAATTATATGAAAATTATATTTAAAAAAAATCTATAAACATTCTGCATTTAAGATTGGAAAAAAAAAAAAAAAAACCTCTCATCTGTCAATATGCTCTATCCAGAACTTTTGTAGTGGAAAAGTTCTTGTTTCACCTAGTTATTTTTGTAAAAAAAAAAAAAAAAAAAGAACCTTTGGGTAGCTGATTAATCGGTTAATCGCTTTGCAAAATAATCCTTAGTTCCAGCTCTACTTTTATTATATAATTTTCTATTCTGACATTCATGCTGTGTAAAAATTCACAATGTTTTGTTTTTTGTTTCTCATTCCTTCCTGTTTCAGAATGTACTTTATTAGCCAGTCCTCATCTTTCTGTTTGTCTGTTTGCTACTTTACTGGCTGCTGTTGAAGATTCTCAGTCATCCAGATCATAGTCATTCCAAAAAAAGTTTAAAAAAAAACAATCCACTGGACTTTGTTTTCCAAGTTTGAAGACGTTTTGCTTCCCATCCAGGAATTGAAAAAGCTTCCTCAATGGGAAGCGAAACTTCTTCAAACTTGCAAACAAAGTCCAGTGGATTGTTTTCTTACTTTTGTGGAATCCGTCATTGGTTAATAATCAAAACATCCACCTAATTAAATATATTTTTATCCATCTCAGATTTCAACAATCTACCACTCCACGTGTCCTGCCTTTACTTTGTTTTGCAATCTATCCATGTCACTAGCAATGCTTTCCCTTCATCTGTTCTTATATCCATTCATTGTGTTTGCAGGTTCCACATTCAAAGCGCTCCCATCGAAGAAATGTCAGTCATGAGATATTTTTGTTTTACATTTAAACCATCTCAAAAAGGGCTTAGAAGATTCGGAGTTTAGTAAATCTCCAAATCCCGTTGAAAAAACAAATCTTTTTTTAAGATTGAGGTCTGAAAGTTGTTTTCCATGTTTCTCAATCACATGTAGCTGATATCTGCAGCTCGGAGTAAGTTTAAAAACTTTAAGGGCTAAAGGTTTGATTTAAACAATTGAGGATCTGCAGTTTTGGCTTAAAAAAAAAAAAGGTTCACTAAGGATTTAAAAAGAAACGTCTCTCATAATCCATAGTTTTCAACCCGAAAAGTGCTGCTTGTCCTCTTCAGGACTGAGGGAAGTTCCTGCCTTCAATGGAGGAGTTCAACTGTCTCAAGGTCTTGTTCATGGGTGAGAACAGAGCAACAGAGAGATCAATACAGCTGCTGCTGCATTGCAGACACGTCCTTGTCTCTACACGACCGGTCTGTTGTGAAGAGAGAGTTGGGCCCTAACCTCCATCCATTTTCTCCTGCTTAATCAATTTTTCTCCCTCTTATCGATCAGGGTAACCAGTGCCTATCTCCAGTAGTCTGTCGATAAAAGGCAGGGTACAACCTGGACAGGTTGATGGTCTGTCACAGGATAATAGAAACATATAACCATGTATGCACACACATAATGGTGATTGGACTGTGGGAGGAGGTTGGAGCAATTAGTCTTTTTTTTTCTTTTAAACAAGCGCATTTTTTTCCTTGAATAGAGCAGGTAAGTGAGACACTTAACGTCACCTATGGTCTTGGTCTTGAACAAAAGAGCGAAATCCTGGATATAAGTGAGCTTCTGCAAGGTTGTTGGAAACACCCTTAGGGCAAAAGGCTAGGATGAGGAACTCGGCCATCAACCAGTGGAGCCAGCTGAGGTGGTCACTCTGGCATCTTTTTCAAACGGGGCTCTAAACACTCCCCACTGAAAGGATGGCCCTGGACGTGCTGGAAGGACATCTGTGCGTCACTGGAATGCGTCGCATTTCATGAGTATTTTTGTAAACTGAGCAAATTGTGGAAGAGGTTCAGCCCATCTACAGTAGGCACCAAAAGCTCTTAGACCACCACTCCCTAAAGAATGAGCCACCAGTGCAGAGCTTGCTCTGCAGTCACAGGATGTGCGTGAAGGTTTATTTTTAGGCACAGTAACAAAAGGAACTTTGAAACATCTTCTCATGACCAGAAGACTAACGCAGCTCTAACCTCTGTCCAAACAAAACTTCAGTTGCTCACTGAAAGTTTGGAACGCCTCATTTGAACTCTTGGGATATTTTCTGTTTTGGAAGAGAACTCAGAATTCAGTCATTAGCGTTTGCATCTACCTGCAGCACTCTGTCAATTATATTACACAGCGATAAGCTTCTAAGTTGTGCATAAAAGGCAAATGGCTTTTGTTGAACCTTCCGTTGCCTCAGTCTGGGAATGTTAGTGATGGATGGTAGGGGATTTAGCATTACTTGTATTTCCACTGAGACTTTAAACTGACCAATGCACATGCATAGTTCAGTGTTACTTAGATTCCACCTTCCTCTGGTGTTTTGGAGCATATGGAAAAATCATTTTTCTGTAGAAGGAAAATGTCGGGCCAGCGATAAAGCCTCCTGCTACTTTGTGTGGGGTTTGGAGAGTGGGCTTATTCTCAATGCTTCCAGAGGGCTCTGGCGTGTCTAGAGGATCTAAAATCCAAGGAGGAGTCAGCACTGTGTAACAATAAAAGTTTCAAAAAAGAAAATTAAAAATAATCCACTGGACTTTATTTCCAATTATGAAGACGTTTTGCTTCCCACCTAGATGCTATTCACGGTGTTGGAATCAAACAGCCAAAGATGGTTAATTTTTATCAGAAAAGATTTATTAATAATAATTTTTCCAAAATTCTAGAGAATAATAAATGTCTGTTGATTAAACATATCATTTGCCCGTTATAATAGTATTGGGGAAGAAATGGGCAATGAAAGAGTTTTTATNCTCATGACTGGTTTTTACTTTAACACGGAGGAGGTAGTATCATGGTGTGAGAGAAATTAGCTGCTTCTAGAGTCACAATCTGCTTCATTGTCAACATGTGTGCACAAATATGAATTTTAAGTTTAGTTTCACAGGCTCACTGTGGACAAACACTAAATATAAATACCTGAAAACAATTATAAAGAAATGGAGATGGCCAAGATCAGGTGTCCTTCACCTTTCAGATGTTTCTCTGCTTCTTCACCTGAATCAAATGGCTCAATTACATCATCAGCTTGCAATCAAGTTCTCCAAGTTCTGCTCATGACAGGATTTTTTTTATTTTGGTGTTTTGAAGTTGAGACGCATCTAAAAGATGCAAGACACCAGAGCTCATGGTCTGGAATAGAGAAACCCTGGCCTACCAGCCCAAGTCACCTAAAAGAGTATTAAAGACACAGGTCCTTAAGCTTTCAATACCCTTAAGCAAGTTACCTGATGGTGGCTTGCAAAACGTTAAAGTATATTGTATTGACAATAGAATGTCACCCTTTATTTTTTTTATGTAGTATTTTCTTGCAGTTTGGAGCCAGAATATTGCCCAGTTTTTTTTGTTGTTTTTTTTTTTTGGATTGATATATATTTCAACAATCTCTGTCCAACTATGGTCTCTTCAAATCCAATTAGTGCAAGTGGTTATTGTTAAAAATCCTCTTCAAATTTTTGGTGTTAAAATTTGGAACTTGTAATAAGCGTGGCTTGTATTTACAGCATTATTTGACATACAAGCCCATAACTCTAGTCATACATGTGTAGTTTCATGAAAACTAACAAAAAACAATTAGCAAGAAAGGGAAAACAAATATTTTCTTATATGGTCCAACTATAATAACAAACCAGTGTAGTGTACCATTTTATTTATTTGTATACATAATTTAAAGGCGTTTTTTAAACTTTTTTGTAGGGAGGGTGCATTTCATTAAGTTAATGAAATACAAGATGCACTTGTTTTAATGATTAAAACAAGTGTATCCAAATCCAGGACTCAATCTAAGTAGAAAGCAGCTTTTAGTAAAAAAAAGGTTTCAATGAAACTGAAATAGTCTGCTACATAAAGCAAGAAAGGGAGATTAGTAACTAATAGCGGTTTCTTATTTAGTGAACTCATCAGTCGGTTTCAGAAAAGAAAACAGCTACTGAAATTTAGAGGAAATTAACAGTCATCTAATTTATTTTATTTACCTATTGTATTAACTGAATCTAAGTCAAAGTAGGGCAGCTTATATTAGAACTGGTTGCAATTCATTGATTAGTTGCAGCTGTGTTCTTCCGCCCAGAGCCTCATCACCGCAGGTGCGCTGGGCGCAGTGATACCCCAATTAAATCTGGTAGGATCACAGGTGTGCGATCCTGAGGTTGCTTCGTTGTTCTTGATTTTTAAATTTTATTGAAGAAATTTAATTGAGAAGAAGAGATGCCGAGGCGACGGACGAAAGATCAAGGAGGCACTGAAAACAAACAGCAGCTAAGTCGTGAAATGCGGCGAAAGAAACTGGCCCTTTTTATCCAACAGTTTGAGAAAGAAGGTACACTTAGATGGGAAGGGGGTCTTAAAGGTAAGAATAATTTTATTTTTTTTAAACGTGTCTTTGCAGCACAGGACCGCCTTAACGACCTGGAGTCCAGAATGGAGGATTTGCTGGCAACAACAGATAAATTGTTTAAAGTGGAGCTGATGAAGATGCCTCCTTCTCTTCAAAACACTCTTATACGAGACCTGATAAGTGGTGAGTGTGGGAGGTTCCACTGTAACATTAAAATCTCACCATATGCATCCCTGCTTAGTAGTGCAAACTCTATGCATTTATTTGGTTTAATCAATAAATTAAACTGATCCAGATCAACCTCAAACAATCAGATGCTGTTAATGCTCAAACACTTTGGGGAAGAGTAGAATATGGGCAATATGCCAACTGCTTCAAGTTGGAATAAGATGAGTTATGTTAATGTGAAAAACTAAAACCCTACATCACCTGTTAAATTAACATCCATTGCAGTGATGGGTGGGTATAGGCATCACATTTTGAGTATAATGTTTTTCTGTATTTATTTGATCTATAAAGATTATCCAAAGGTTTGTTACTGGTTTAAGTCTAGTGTTTAGTTGTCGCAGCAATTTAGTTCCTTTTCCAACTTATGCTGGTGAAGATACTCAGTTATCAGGCCATATTCATTCCAAAAAAGTAAAAAAAAAAAAAAAAACAACAAAAAAAAAGACACTGCAGACATCCCAAGTTTAAAAAACTCATTTCAGAGAGATGCTTATTGTACAGAAAAGGATTAGGGTCACTGGAAAAAAGTGAACTGATTTTTAAATATAATTTCATTTTAATATGGGGAAAAAAAGTCAGAATTCTGACTTTAATCTCAGAATTTTGGATCTTAATGGAGATGGGCACCATGATGGAAGAGATGTGGGAGCACTCAGCTCCACTGACAAAAATGTGAGTTGTTTGGGAGGAACAGTACCACTTTAGTGGAAAATGATGAAATTAGGCAACTTTTTACGTGTCCGAGGGGTTCCCCGGTGATGCTATTTGATTAATGGAAGAGCAGAAGGTGATTTAAACAAGAGACCTAGTTTAATAAAACAGTCATGGCTACAACTTGATGCTAACATGTTTGTTAGCTGTCAGAATTCTGAATTTTTTTCTCATAATATACTGAAATAAAATGTAAAAATCTGTAAACTTTTTTTTTTTTTTCTCAGAGGCCCTAATCCTCTTATTATTGAACACCCCACCTTTTTTCTGATTAATCCAATCAGCGCGCTCTCTGATAAGTCGCTTGGAACGCTTGTTGAACAGAGCATCGCTTTGTACAACATGCATTGCACAGGTTTCACAGGCAACCTCCTCCCCACACCTACTTTATCTTGTTGTGCCTGCACAATCAAAGTAGTTCGAATTCGCACATGGTGCACAAATTATTGTATTGACTGCACAATCTCACTCGCATAAAAAAAAAACACCGCCTCGCAATCTAAAATGCTGGATAATTTATCCATCTGGCGAACATCTGTGAACAACTATCGGTATCAGGGAGACTCCCGAAACTTCCGGCAGACTTGGGATGTCTGACTTTGTTTTCCAAGTTTGAAGATGTTTTTCTTCCCATCCAGAAAGTTCTCAATTCAAAATGTTTGGATTAGTGTTGAGTTCCAAGTTTTATGCAGTAGCCCAACAAAGCCTTTTTATGGCTTAGAAAACGTGCAAATTGAATTGAATGAACAGATCCACCCCTGCGTAATGGGGAATTGTTGAGGTTGTTGTTCGCCTACAAAACTCGATACTGGCCTATGCCAGTACCTGTGTACTAGTATGTAGGACTAAAGCTACGACTGAGTATTGGGCCAGGCTAGAGATTTTTATTTTTTTTATTACCAGAATAAAGTCGCAACATTACGAGAATATAGTTGTATTTTATGACAGCTCTTACAAGAAGCACTTTCGTCACAAAAATGAGGAATGTTGAGCATCGTGTGAAGTTATACTTTGGTATCAGTTTGACAAATGAGGAAATCTTTTAGTGCACCAGCATCAAATTGGGCAATATGTCAAAGTGGACCTAGGTAGCTGTTTGGTGGTGCTGTTATATTATTAATACAGGTCATTTACCATTTCTATTCCTCCTCCCACTTATTACCTCTTCTGTCTGTCTTTTGGATCTTTAAAACTAGATTTGTCAGGCATCCTAATCTTGTTAACCTCTTCAAACAGATTACAATCGGATCATAAATGGGTTATAAATGATGAAATATTGTTGAAACTAATATAGATGCCTTACTTGTGGGTGTTACCCTTTTTACTTTTTGTTGAGGATAAAAACAACTTTTTTCATTTTCTGTGTATCTTGTTAGAGGAAGAAGCCTCAGCCAGTGATGCATCTATAGCCATGAAGGTGAGGTTTTACTATCCCACTATACTTGATTAGGATTATTTTTAATAAAATTTATATTTTCACCTATTGCAGAGTGAGTCCCTTGAAATGACTCCTCCCCTCAGGCGAAACCACAGCAGAAGATGTAATTGATCACATTATCAAGCATAAAGGTTATTGCACTGATTACTGTGGTTTAAAATGGGTTTTGTGCTTTTTTCTATTTACTTTCAAAGTAAAGTCGGCAGATACTCCCCCAGTGTGTTCCAGCTCAGGCCAGAGGTCTTCCACTAGGAATCCAAAGGTAATGTATAAAGGATTTATTGTAAAATGATGGGTTAACAGTTATTTATTTTTCTAGGTTGTTAAGGGCACCAGAAGTACTAGAAACCTAGTTGGAAGCAACAGCACTGGAAACCTCGTGTAAGCCCAGAAATCAAGGTAAAGTTGTTACCGTGATGGAGGAAAAAAGGTCATGGGATGACATCGGTTTCCTTTTCCTGCAGAGGTTCCTCAGTGATGACCAAACGAGCACAGACTCGGCTAACGAGTCGTCAAACTGCAGAGCAGGCGGTACAGAAGCAGACCACACCTAAACTCAGGTCTGTCCCTCTTGTCAGTAAAGCAGACTATGAAAATCAAATCTAGCATTGATAAACCAGCTCTTTATTGGATCCAAAAACTATTTTGTCACTGTGCTGCAAATATGTTAAAATATAACTTGTAAGATGGAAAGAGGCCTATGTATAATAATTCATAGTGGGGTCAAATCCTCCTGAGGGGCTGATTAACAAAACATGGACCTAATCAAGATTTTATCAGTTGTAATGGGGCAGTATTAAAAAAAACAAACTCATGGCTAAATGCATTCTGGAAAGTAAGACGTAGGTCAGCACTACAGAATGCTGATCATAAAAATAAACTCCACCAGGCAGAGAGCCCATATACACTGTATGCAGAATTATCAGGGAAGTTGTATTATTTTATTGGGCCACAATGGTGCTCTTTATCAACCCAAAAAACTCCTAAATATCAAAGTTTCATATTTTTGGAAGTTGATGTGGTGTTTTTTTTTTAGATTTGGCCATTTTATGAGGATGTCTGTGTGCAGGTTAATATTGCTATGCAGAATTATTGGGCAACATACTAAACAACAAATGTATACCCATGTCATTTGTTTATTTTCACCAGGTAAACCAATATAACAACTCAAAATTCAGAAATAAACATTTGCGACATTTAAAAACGAAAACAAATCAGTGACCAATATAGTCACCTTTCTTCACCATGATGCTCAAAAGCCTTCCATCCATAGATTATGTCAGTGTCTTGATCTGTTTGTGATTCACATTGCGTGCAGCAGCGACCACAGCCTCACGGACACTGTTCAGAGAGGTGGACTGTTTTTCCTCCCTGTAGATCTTAGATTTCATGAAGGACCACAGGTTCTCGATGGGGTTCACATCAGGTGAACAAGGGGGCCATGTCATTATTTTTTCCCCTTCTAGACTTTTTCTGGCAAACCATGCTTGGGTGTATTTTGATGCGTGTGACGGAGCATTGGCCTGCATGAATATCATGTTTTTCTTGAATGGTGGCAACTTGTTCTTGTACCACTGTTTGAAGAAGGTGTCTTCAAGAAACTGGCGGTAGGTCTGGGAGTTGATGCTGACTCCATCAACCCGAAAAGGTCCCACCAACTCATCTTTGATACCAGCCCATACCAGTACCTCACCTCCACCTTGCTGGTGTCTGAGTCGATAAGGAAGTTGCTGCCCTTTACTGATCCAGCCTGGTGCCCATCCATCTGTCCAATCAAGACTTACTCTCATTTCATCAGACCAAAACACCTTGGAGAAATCAGTCCTCAGATATTTCTTGGCCCAATCTTGATGTTTTGTCTTGTCTTGTTCAAAGGTGGCCTTTTTTTCAGCTTTCCTTACTTTGGCCACGTCCCTGAGTATTGAGCACCTTGTGCTTCTCAGCACTCCAGACATGTTGCAGCTCTGAAATATGGCACAGCCATTGGCAAATGGCTTCCTGGCCGCTTCATGCTTGATCCTTCTCTATTATTTTGGATCTTCTTTTTTTTCCAATACGCTTGTTGCGCCCCTGTTGGCTATTTGCCATGAACCGCCTGATTGGGCGATGATCCTGCTTCAAAACCTTGGCAACTTCCAAACTGCTGCACCCCTCTGAAAGACATCTGACAATTTGACATTTCAGTCTGTCAAATCTCTTTTCTGACCCATTTTGCGAAAGGAAAGAAAGTTGCCTAATAATTAAGCACACCTTATATAGGGTGTTGATGTCATTAGGCCACACCCCTTCTCATTAGAGATGTACACCACCTGATTTACTTAATTTGTAGGTGGCTTTTAAGCCTATACAGCTTGGAGTAGGACATGTATGAAAAAGATGTGGTCGAAATACTCATTTGCCTAAATTCTGCACACAGTGTAGATATCATGCATATTTTGCATCAAGACAGCTGGGTTTTCCTATTTTGTTTAAATAAAATGAGTATATTTGTTTATAATGAAATATGGATTTCTATTTTCTTTATGCATCTAATCTTTTTAGTAGGAGAAAATTGGACCCATTTGGTCTGTCAACTTGAGCAACAATCTTCTTTGCCATCTTCCTCTTTGTAGCTGTAGCACTGTTTGTCTTTCCTTTAAACACATTCTTTTTTTTCATACTGTCTTCATTTAAATTTTTAGTTCCAGTGGGTAGAAATAGGCCCTTCCTGTTCCCTGTTGTCATGGTGACTCGTCTAATTGGGGCTAGTCTAATGCATCAAAAAAGGGATTACAGCTGATTTTGATCCTATACTGTAGACCTTCATCTAGGCCTGCATGGTCTTGCGTTATAAGCAGTGAAAAGCACATTTTTTTTTTTTTAAGTTGAAATGTATTGAGCATATGTGTAGCAATACACAATGGTGCCATTATCTTGCTTTGGAACCGATTAGCTAGAATTGTGGTGGTTGAATAGAAGAATAAGAATATTAACTATTTATTTTTTTTGTCTCTGACAAATGTTATCAAGAGCTGCTCCCCAAAATCCTCTAGAATCCACAGTTGTGCTGAAACTATCCTCTTTTACAGGTCAGTTATGTCTGCTGGGGATATTTTTTGTTCAAAGGGAGGAGCTGCAGCTCACATCTCTGTGACGACGGCGCAGGGACAGGTAAGAAAAATCTTGGAGCTGCAGAGGAGATGGCTGAAACCAGGTTAACAGTCTGTGTTCTAATGTAGGAGTTCCTGATGCTTGCATTATTGGTCTAATGCATGTTAGATTCAGCTAAAACACCATAAGTGTTAAAAAAAAATAAATAAATAAAAAAAAGCAAATCTTCATTAAATGTTTCCAAATACCTGCTTTCCAGAAACCATCTGACCTTGCATGGGAAAAGCTGCATTTTTAGCCTGAGAGATGTCCACACTTCATCAGTGATTGGATGTGGTTTACATCCTAATTTCAGAATTTAACCTTATTGGAGTGGAAAAGAGAGCAAGCAGCAATTCTTTGTTCCATGATGGAATATTATAACTCTTTAAATCTATGATACTTTACATTTATGCAACCAACCGAAGATGATATAATTAAAGATTGTTAAATGTTTTATATCCATTTTTAAAATATTTACTTTGTTTGTTTTAAAGTGAAGCTGGAGATATTTTTGTTTAATGATTTTTAACCTGCATACATAATGCTGCCAGCACTTGAAATTTTTTCTGTTTACAGATAAGTTTTTCCAGATTTTTTCACTTCTTTTGCAGCAGTCTTTCTATAAAAAATGTTTGGTGTTAAACTAAATTATTTTTATTTCTAGATGTTGAGTTTTTCTGAAGAGACGAGGGATGAAATTAACTTGGACCTGCTTGATGACGTCGCTTGGTGCCAGATTAAAAAGCTTTCGGTGAGCTCCTCAAAAATGTGTTCAGGGCTGCAACATATTAATCTTCCACACCTTTACACACTCAGTCTTATAACTTTTATGAATGTTGCATACTACTCTGGACATTTGACATCCAAAAGCTTCATCTAGTTTTTATCTGAAACGACTCCTTTGGCTTTTTAAATCACCTGATCTACAGTTGAACGTTTTAATCAGAGCTTAATTATTTTGCTCTAAATGTATTTTGAAGCTCATTTTCTGTTCTTTGACACTTGTTTTTTTTTTATTTTTTTTTATTTTGAATATTACAAATATATTTAAAAAGCCGTTTCCGTGCTCCTTTCAACCAGGATCCTATAAAGTTGCTCTCTCGCCCCTCTGTTGTGGGGATGAAAATTTTTACACTAATTGCACTTTAACTCATTAATTGGTTATTAATTATTCTTCATTTTTTATCTTTTTCCTCAGGGTCTGATGGAGTATTTATCACGGCACCATCGCATTCATCAATGAATAAAGATGAATGGGCATTTTAATTTACCTGCACTGGCCCGCTGGGCCTGAATTAATTTTTTTGGGATCATAACAAAATGTCATAAATATAATAAAGTTTATCATGATCATCAAAACTTGTTTCTTTTCTAAATCGTTTTTTTTTTTTTTTTTAACATCAATGTTGTCTTTTAACTGCTACCTCTTCATACTTCAGATCTTAGAAAATAAAAGATTTTGTGACAGCTTCTTTTGTACAAAATTTAAAAGCCTATACATATAGTTTATTTTTAAACATGGTCACTGTAAAACGGGTCTACACTGGAAAAAAACAGACCCATCTGTAAATTGATGTTGATGGAGGCAGCAAAGCTGATATTTCAATCCAGCATGGATTCACAGAAGAACAGACCAGATGAAGCTACTATGAGAACAAAAAGCTAAGATGTGATTTGTACTAGACTGAGGAGGGATATACATATCTGCTTAATTTCAGTGCTGGCTAATGTTCATCCTCAAACTCTTGAACTAAATTGTTGGTACCCTTTGCGTTAATGGAAAAACACAAATTATCTGAAGAGAATCTCAGGAAATCATTAAACTTTTCTGAAGTGTCCTTTTATAAGTGGAATAGAATTCCACTTTATTGACATTACGTTGTCAAGTACAAAGCAAGGAAATTCACTCTCTGCATTTAACCCGTCCCTTTGGGAAGCCATGTGGGGTTAAGGGTCTTGCTCAGAGACCCAGAGTGGAGGCTGTGGGGATTGAACCGGGTACTTGCAACCTTCTCAACCTGCTCTAACCACTAGGCCAACACCCCCAAAGTTTCCTGATTCAAATCCTACTGAGCATCTATGGAAGCAGCGAAAACATGGCGTCTGGTATAACTGGAGCAGTTTGCTTGTGAGGAGTCAAAATATCTGCTGAGAGGAGCAGAAGTCTCTCTGCCAGTTACAGGACTGGTTTGCCTTAAATATATTAAGGGTAGACTATTTCAGTCCTATTTAATGAGGGTTTTTTTTACCGTTCTATTTAACTGACGTTCATTTCAGTCTTGTTGCAGTTTTTGTTTTAAAGGGGAGGGCATCAGTAATTTGCACCGGACCGTAGGGGTGTCTAATAAATCCAGGTACAGATTTTAGATGAGCAGCAGAAACGTTTTTTAACATATCTTTAGGGTTTAAGATGGTATGCTTTGGGACTGATAAGTTACAATAACCACATCTAGTATTAAATAATTGATTTTGAGTAAGAAGGATTTTAATTAAAACATTCTATCAAATAAAAGTGTTGGTTTATGGACAGGATTATCTTAAAATTACAAGATCTGTATTCTATTGGTAAATACTAATGAAAAAGGTATGACTGTGATTTTTGGTCTATATACTGAAATAATGTAAACTAGTGGTTATAACATGCTGCATGTCAACCTGCAGGATTGCTTGCATTAATTAAATCATAAATAATTTTTAATGAATGTTTATTGGTCAAGCATTCAGTCTTATAAGCACAGAATCAAACATTTAATTCATGTTTCTTTTTTAAATGTGCTGGGAGGAAAGATTCAAACAGATTCAAGCTTCTGTTGTATTTTCTAAAGGATTTCTCAAGTCAACACAGTTATCGGAGGTAAAAAAAAGGACAATTTTCTGCAAGAATAAAAAAGCAATAGAACATTTTGTTTAACCTAAATACTCAGGCAAAAGGAATTCAGTATTACTAAAATACAAGGAAGTAAAATTATTTCAACTCTGAAATGAAAGCTAGGTTGAAGTATTATTAGGAATGTAGTGACTCCATCTCCACCTCCATGGGCTCTTTGGTTCGCAGCTCGTTGAACTGGGAATTTTGATTTACAGGCTGTCGGCGGCAGGAGGACTCAGGGTGAACGGGCATCCTTGGGTAGAAGGGACCCACCAGCCAGTTGAGCGGCGTGTTGTTGACCAGGTAATCCATTACGTTATCCAGGGAGTCCTTCACCTTGCCTAGCTGGACCCTGCTACTGGCTAACACGCTGTCTGGCAAGTCTCCCAGCACCTTGGCTTGGCTGAAACTGGTGTACACCTGTGCAGCTGAATGGCTAATGGACAGCGCCTCCTGCTGGATGTTGTTGGGGAGTCCTTTCAAACCGGAGACCAGGACTAGACAGGTCGTCTGGAGCTGTTGGGTGAGGGAACGTGCAAGCACCAAGGTGCGAGACTCGATTACCTACGGCAAGAGGATACACATTTAAAAACCACTCAGCATCAAAGAGATAAAACAAACATTTGTAAATTAGTAAAAATATGCTGAGACAGGAACTGTTATACTAGGAAAATATACAAAAATACATTCACAAAAACACAACTAAAAACTTTATTGTAGCCTTTCCCCCTTCTTCTTTTTTGTTTTAGGAGTTTTTAGGAACTTTGAATAATCCTAAATTGCTCTATTAAGTCTGGATATGGAAATCAATTCACTCTTTAGCTGAAAAAGTACTGGCCGTTAGTTACCTCTGCATGGTGACCATTCTCTTGGATTGAACTACCCGACTTCCACGGCACCAGGGAGTTAAGCTTGTTGTTTACCATCTGGTTAGCACTGCTGATGTTCTTCCTGCCGTATTCAATCTAAGAAGACCAAAGACTTTATTTTAGAGTGAGAATGTTGATACTGAACACTTTAAAGGTCATAATTCACACTGATCCTCTTAGGATCACACAGTAGGTGCGTTTGTGATCATTAGAGACTCACCAAGTCAACAGTGGAGTTGAGCTCGGAGATGAATCCCATGCTGCGCTCCTTGCCCTCCTGCATCCTGGCCATGGCTCTGGTGTACGCTCTCTTTCGGAGCTTGGTGGAGAGGCAGCCCAGGCGAACGTAGAGGCTCGTCTCTTTACTGTCGAAGCCTTTCACTGCTTCTGCCTCCAGCTCTGTCACAAGGCGAGGGGAAACGAAAACAGGCTATATTTAGACGTTGTAAGTGCCACAACGCAATACATATGTTGTTTTTAGAACTAGAAAGCCTTGTTTGTTTTATTTTTTGCATAAGGACAAGTCTGATCACAGTGTACCAGCTTATCAGTCTGAACAACTCTTCTATTTATTGCTGGGGGGGAAAAAAAGTAAAAAGCTAACACAAGTAACCACCCTAAAAACCCTTCATCTGATAGACACAATGTTCTGGGAACCACTTCAGCTGCTGAACCACATATAACACTTATGTAACTAACTGCAAGCTTGGGCTTTATTGCTTACATTTAATTAAATAGAAAATAAGTGATGTTTTTTGGGGTTTTTTTAAACCACACCTGATAAATGTTTCAGAAATGGAGATTTCTTCCAGATTTACTCATTTTTAGTTCCTTTTACTGTTAAAGAAACAACATTCCCACAGCATGATGCTTCCAGTTTTAGCGCTTGTTCCATTTTTCTAAATTGAGACCTCTAAAGCTTTCAAACCTATTTTATAACATAATTCTTCATTTACGCACCTGTTCTGCTGTTTTTCTTTTAATTTTTTGAATGGATCCAGAGAGCCCTTCATTAGCTTATTTGGTGATATATAAAGGTGATTAACTTTATTGTGTTTTGATTCTTTGTATCAGAGTGAAGGGTGGATGAACATGATTGCTATTTGTAATAAAAAAAAACCCACTGGAAATCATTGTTTTTCCTTACCTTTCATAAATGGTGTTATTTTGATTAGTCTAACATGTAAAATCCTGACATAATTCAGGTTTTAAGCTGTAATGCTACAAACTGTGATTTTTTTGTTTCATTCATCATAGTCTCTGCCCTTAAGAGCAATTCAAGTCAAAAATACTTTAACGTTCCTAGAAGAAGGTAAGTAAATGGCTTTTCGACTCACCAAGCTCCTCCTCTGACAGAGGCAGGTACTGCTCCACTAGACTCTCAGAGGTACTGAGGGCTGTGTCCACACCACTGCTGACCAGTTGCACCACTCTGCTGTCCAGCACCGTGCTCACGCTCCCACTCACAGCTGCTTTGGTCTTGTCCATCCCCTCCTGTACCGCACCCCGGGTCTTCTCCACAACCGTGCTCAGAGTGTCAGAGACGGTGCCCTTGGCCTCAGACACTTTCCCTGTCATCACATCCTTGGCAGAGGTTACCACATCCTTGGCACTGGAAACGATCTGGGGTGGAAAGCCAAAAGGAAGATGGGGCATGGGTCATCAAGATTTGTATTTTTCATCTTTATTGTGCAACTAGGCATGGTGCCATACCTGCTCAGAGGGCTGATGGAGGATTGGCAAGGTTTTCTCGATCTTGTCCAAACCTTTGCAGGCCAGGTCGTTGGCAATGGCAACTGCAGATAGAACAAAGGGATTATTATAAGAATTTCTGAAGTAAATTGCTTTAAAAAAGTTGAGACATCTTGGCTTTTCTTTTGATCTTTATTAAACTTTCTCATATTACAAACACAGAATTCAATATATATCAGTAGATGGTTACTTGCTCATTATTAAAGCGAGGGATTTTGTATAAAATCTGACAGGTTTCACATGCTGGTGCAGGTTGAGCCTATTTGTCAAATATGTTTCTTCAATAAAATACAAAATATAAAGAATTGTAAAAACGTATGCAAGGTCACTGAACTAGAGGAGGAACTCATTTTGTGACTCAGAACTGTGTGAAAGGTGAGGTGGATTAAGAGTCAGCAGTCTGGGTCAACCTTCCTGTTTCAAATTCTTGAAACGTGACTCTGAACAGAGCATGACGACCACGAGGGATTCAGTATGCCCCTCTAATCTCTGTCGCCACATTCAATGGCCGACAGAGGTGGGGGAAGAAGTAAGCTCAGGGGTCTTACTTTGAGGCTCCAGTTTGCCGATGATGGGCGAGGCGGTGGTGAGGGCCACAGAGGTGATGGTGCGGACCCCTTGCTCTGCAGCCTCACACACGCTCCTGATGTAAGGGTGGTTGTCCTTGGTGTTGGAGTAAACATTGAACACCATGCTGTAGGTGGAGCTCACCAAAGGGAGGCTGGTTACTCTCTCCACCACACTCTGAGGAAACACACAGACAGCAGGTTAATAATCAGCTGCCTCAATTAGAAATTAAACTGATAATTGAGATATTATTAGTAAGCTTTTAACATTTTTCTATCTCAACTTGCTTTATTTTGCCTTCTATTTTACTGTTTAATTCGTTTAAAACAAATTAAAAGTAAAATATATCTATAGATATATATAGATAGATAGATAGATAGATAGATAGATAGATAGATAGATAGATAGATAGATAGATAGATAGAAACCTTTGCCTTTAACACGGAGGGGTGAGTTTACACAGTAAAAGAGTAAACAATAAACTCACCTGATTTGGCATAACTTCAACTGCTGCCATTTCTGTTTATAAAAAAGTATATAAAACAACTTTAGAATTCAGATATCAACTTTAATCCCGATAAAATACAGACGAAGAAACAGAAACCATAAGGAATGAGCAGTTACTTCCGTAATAGAGCATTTATAAAAGTATTTCCGGTACTTAGAGACCCGTTTCTAAGAGGGCAGTCCTTAATAAATGTTCAGCAATTACACCTAAAATATTTACCGTGTTTATTAAGAAGTTTCTCGCAGCTGTCAGTGACTCCAAGGCTGATGTGAACGGGCTCGGTGGGGCTGCTGTATTTATGCGCTGGAAATATAATATCGCGAGATTAGGCGTGGCATTGTGGGGCGAGATTCCAGAGCAAAGGTGGCGAAAAGAAGGTGGAAGTTCAGAAAGTGGAGCTGGGGGATTTCCTTTAGATGCAATGGCGATTCGGTAGCATGAAATAAGTCTGAGGGAAAAATGTTTAGAAATAAAAATAAAGGAAAGATAAATAAAACCCCAAACTTAGTTTTAGCATCATCTAAGTCAACAAAAATATGCCAAACTACCCTCTCCTCTGACACTAGAGCAGGTGGGCCAAATTACACATTAAAACCTCCCAAAACATTTCAACAATACAGCAGTTTATTTTATTTATGGCTCCGCAACCCTCCAATAGTCTCAACCTGTACTTTTTCATTTTCCTTTCCTAACTCCCTTCCCGGCTGAGCTTTAATTACAAGAAAGGATTTTTGTCTGGGGTCCTGTTGCATAATTAAAAGCTCTAGAAACTTCGCTTAGGATTTAGTTTCACCCCTCACCTCAAGAGCTTCCTAATTCCACATATTTTGGATGAAAATCTCTAAATACAGAGCATGAAAACCAAAAAAATCAGTTTATTTTCCAAATGTTTTCAATTAAATGCTATAAGCAAAAAAGTGTGAGCCTGTTTATTACTGGATTATATAGTGCATTTATTGCTTACAACCCAAATGACAGCATAAGGGAGGGAAAAAGCTATTTTCTACAATGTTTGACTATATTTTGATCTATTCTAATTTGGCCAGAAAGGGTTTTTAACAATGAATGAAAAAAAAACCTATTATGCATTGTTTCTAAAATTCTCAGCATATAGTATACAGAAAAGTTTGGTGTGCATTTGTATTTACACCCCTGGGTCCATTTCTTCTAATGCAGCACTTACAGCTGTAGGTTTTATGTGGTGTTTCTTTACCAACTTTGAACTTTATTCTTTTTCAATCGGCCTTGTGGAAAATATCTCAAGTCATATTGTATTCATAACTTCTGTAAACATAAGTTTTCAGTCCTATCACAGATTTTGGATTTAATTTGATGTTTTCATTTTATTTCTATGTAAATAGATAGATAATCACCCAGTCGACGTAACAATGTGAATTGATGAATTAATACACCCTTCGTAAAGGGATATGTGGATACCAAGAAAAGTGTTAAAAGTTCATGTCCCAAAAATCAACCTTACAAATAATGACTTTAAAGACACATTAAATGTCGCTATGCTGACATTGGCTACAAAAGTTATACAAGATGACCTTTTCTGTCCATGTTGCCCAGTAGGCTGTGTGCCAGGCTGACAGCTGCTTAGCTCATGCAATAAAAATTCATAAAAGGATGATTCATGTCCTGGATCTTATCTCCTGCACCAAGTAGAGTCTGCCTGGTCTATTTCAGGTCACTGCTCATGATGAAGGGAATTCAGTGTAGTAGGAAGCTTACAGAGAAGTCTAACACACAGTGAAGTCAATGTCTTTAGACAGTATTGGCAGTGGCGGTTCAAGAACACATTTACCAGGGGGCCCCAGGGGTTTTCATAGGGCATAGAAAAGCATGAAACAAAAAAGCAGGGCAAGGTTTATCCTTCAATATATATTAAGAGAAGCACAAAACCAAAGAGCTACTTTTGGCCCAGTACTAAATGAAGAGAAATTTTGATATTATTTAGTTTTACATTTTGATGTTTTTCCACTGAAATATGTGTATTTATGTCTTTAAAAAAATAAAAAAAAAATCCCTTAAAAGGAGATAAAGGTAAGAGAAACATTTAGCTGCTACAAAAATATCTACACAAAAGATAAAGTAAAGCTATTCTATGGGATATCAGGATAATTCAGGAATATTATATATATATATATATTTAAAACAGTTTTAATTAAAACATAAGTAGAACTTAAGTAAAATTGAAACATTCTGCTGTAAATTCCAGTATTTTCTTTCAATTTGGATCAAAATAATATTTAGGAGATGAAAACTGTGGCCCTATCTCAAAACAACTGAAACTATTACCATAATTTATTCATCATAACTAAAGCACTAACTTAAAACACAGAACTGTAAGTAAAAAAAATGAAATGGGTCATTATGTCTGTTGCATAGCAAATAATAAAGTATTTTTAGAATTATGTCCTCAGAAGAGGGGCCATAACATGGGCAAGGACCAGTTCTACAGGGGCACTCTCCCCTGTGACCCTTGTCTAGAACCACCCATGTTTGTAGGTGCAAGCAGCATTGCTACAAACTCCTTAATATTTCCCTCATATGCACTTTAAATTCAAATTAAAAATGGATTGGATGCTCAATATTTGGAGGCCAGAGGATGAAACACATGTTTAGATTCTCCAGCTGGCAAGCAAACTGGGATCTCTGGGCTCAAATTATTAGTCTTTAAGTAGATCAAATCAACCCCATATGAGCATGTTGGCTACAATAAACCACACAAGCTCTGTCATAATCAAAGGTTCACAGTTGGTTCTGATTTTCTGTAGGATATGAAGCAGAACTTCTGTCTCAATAAACAGATTGCAGGTCATCCACACTTTCACTCCACGTTGCTCTGGACATTGATCGGATCGTGTTTTATTATACGTGTCAAGTTCCCTTTATGGATGGGCTGGCTTAAATGTGGAACAAAGAGCAGCCATTTGATTATGAGTCATCAGTATGACGAGATGAGATCCTGAAAAAGTCTGTTTGGTCAGAGCTCTATAATCCAGTCATGTTATTTTTTTAAGCTTTCACTTCATTCTGATGCAACACAGATATCAAAGATTATATGAACTTTCAGCGTTAGACTGGAAACACAACTTTAAGGCTAAATTAAATTAAGGTTAAATTAAATTAAATGAATTGTGAAGCTTCAAGTATAATAGAGGCTGAAAGTTGTTTGGTTCCCTTACACAGATGCTGCATTTAAGCGTTGTCCACACATTTTTACAGTCTCTGATGTTAAAGCTTCTGGAAGGCCACTTACAATGTCTGATAAACTGCTTCATTTATTCTAAGATCAATTTGAAATTGTTATTTGGAGTGTTGCTCTTCTTCGTTCCATCAATTTGTAATGTGCCAAAATCAAAACTGGATAATCCAGGTTCAGAAAGTGAAAAAAGCCTCCACAGAGATTAGTTACAACCATTTTCAAGGCAAAAATCTAGGCAGTGTTTTTACTTTCTGGATCTGGAGTGTCAGGTAAACATCCTGACAGTATGACACTGCCACTAACTTTAAAAGTTTTTCACGTTTTCTTATTATTTTTTTTTTTTAATGATTTGGCTCTGATTTGAACTGAGAGGCCTTTATGCTACAAGTAAACTTTTCAGTGTGGCCAAACTTAATCTTAAATAACTTTTCACCAGAAGCAATTTGGCTTGTCCATGTTAGAAACTGCCAATTGATTTGGGAGCATGAGCCATAGTGCCAACTGGAATGTTCTGAAACATTTTCATCATTTTCTTTAAACCTGACACTGAAATTGTCCAGAAAATATCAGTGGCTAAACTACTCCTATAACAATCTGTCCTTACTTACAGTTGTTTGGTCTTGAAATGTCAAATTCTCCTTGTTAAGTTTTTGTTGTGTTTGATGGACTCTTCTATTGTGCTGAGTATTCACCAATCAGGTCAGTTAAATAACAGCCAAATGGCCATTACTACAGACAAGCGGACACTGTCGCTTGTACTCATGATTACCATTGAAAACATTACTTGCCACTCTATGAAAAAATATCTGCATCTAGTTAATGCATCAGCCTTTATGGATAATTCTTACCCCCAGTAGATTTGAGGAAATCCACAGTATATTCAAACTTGTGTTGTCAGTTCATACATTTTAAAATCCTGTACATTTATATCATTCAGTTATTCAGTCCTGGAAACCAAAATTGGGTGCAAAAATAGGTAATCTCAGCCACAATTATTGGTGTTTATGTGTTAATTTGAATAGGAAGAGAGAAAGCAAACTGATCAAACCTGAATATTTAATGATGTTATTCAGACAGAAGATTTATACATGATGAAATGTGTAATATACTGTATGTATTTTTTTCTATTTTAGAAAATGTATTTAATTCCATCCATCCATCCATCCATCCATCCATCCATCCATCCATCCATCCATCCATCCATCCATCCATCCATCCATC